GAGGAGGAGATAAATCTCCAAAATCAAGAAACTTGGCATGGAGAAATCATAACCTTAAGGACTCGATCTACCGGAAAAATTCAATGAATCCCCACTCCCTCCGGCCTCCGGTGATATGCCAGAGGGGGGAGGGAGGGGGACCAGCGGTGGCGGAAGCGAGGGCGGCAACGCTCGAGTCGCAAGACGCGAGACCTATACGGTGCGTTTTCTTGAGGGGGACCGGGGGCGCTTGTATGCATGTTCAATGTTGTATTGTTGTTCTATTCTCTTTATTGTTACATTAGATCCAGCACGCCGGGGTACTTAAAGCGATTAGCTATGTGTCGCCAGCTTGCGATGGATTGCCTGGACCACTACAACACTATGCATCCGGTTTGTGATCTACCCTGTCACTTGGTCTTTCATTTTCTAGGACCAAAGATATACGCATTGCTGTCACCTCTTTGGGTTGGGTTTAAATTGCAATAAAAGATCAATCACTGACACATAGTACGAATTTGTTTCGTTTTTGTTGGACACGCGAAAACCAAGTCATTGGAATTTACTTCCTGATTGTTTTTTTTTTTTGGTCAAACTCTGCTTTTCCCTTTTACCTTACTAGTTGCTACAGCAATTTCATCACCCCCCTGCATGATTGTTTGATTCAGGACAGTGAGTATGAGCCTGCTCCTGGCATGTTGACCAAAAATTTGCATTTCGACGAGGGCGTTTGCTGGACTCATGGAAACTTCGTGGTTCGTCGGAAGCGTTCTGGTTGCTTCTCATTCCTGCCTGCTCCACGAACTCCTCTTTTTCTTCGAGGTTGCTTATAGCAATGGTTCCCGTGGACTCGTCACATGCACCCCCTTAGTAGGTATGCATGGCCTGAATGTGCAAGAACTGATGTTTTAACACACCCTATCTCCTTAGCAAACCTGAACTAAATTCTTGCCACAACTGAACTTCTGAATACCAGCAAAACTGAGCACACAACTCTGAATTTTCAGCCGCTTTCATGCATCATCAAACAATAGCGTCTGCATCATCACCCGCCCCCCCCCCCCTTTTTTTTTTTTTTGCACCATTCATACTTCAATCCCCCACATAACAGGTGCCACCGCCTCACACATCGCTCCCCACCCTTTCCCTGCCTGTGCTAATGCAGGGTTGCCGCTAATCCCCACTGCTAAATCTAGGTAAATGCCATACGACCATCCTACGATGGCGAAGGAGGTAGAGGCAGGCAATGCAGGGAGACGTGAGTGGTGGAAAGGCAATAGTTTGGTAGTGTAGGCGGATCAAAATTGTGTTGTATCTATCTTGCCATGCGAGTTTATCAGCTCCGTAGCCAAAGGAATGATCGAACTTTTAAACCTTGGGTTGTCCCTCTTCATCTGCTTGCTCGTCTCCCCTGTGTTGTATAGATTTGGTCCATGTGAGGACAGATTGCATATGTCAATTGCCTTAATTATTTCTCTTGCTTCTTGCTTATAGAGTATTAGTATACTATAGGGTAGGTCATGTTCGCTTGTCTTATAATCTGTATTTTTTGGCTTGTTTTTTTAGCCGGAACAATATTTTTCTCTCACAACAAATCAGTCGGAACAGTATTTTAGCTTGTTTTTTCAGCGAAGCGAACAGGGCGGAACCGGTGACATACTACACTTGTTTCAATGATATGGATAACTTGTCGTACTCTGTATGTATTTTCCTAATCCTTTTGCTGGGCCACCAAAGAGGTTTAGATGTTCCTGGCAATTCTTATCGACCACAAGAGGAATTGGTACAATTGTGGTTCGCCGATATAGTCTCTATGATGTCTTTTCTAGTGTAATTACTGCTATAGCTGTGGTCTGTTTGCACTGTTTTATATGTAAATAGACTTGATTATTGCCTTTGCTATTTTTCGTGCTTTTGGTCGAAATTATTTTTTTGCCTTGTGTTTTCAGATGAACCCGTTACTGAAGCCTACAGTGTCTTGGGTTTCCCACTTTGGTGGTCTAAACGCCGTAGACGCAAATGTATGACCCCCTCTTTGTGTGTTTTTGTGTGTTTGTGTGTTGCGCAACACGGTCATCCGCTTGCCTCTTCTCTGTATTTGCATGTCTTCCTGTGTTTTTGTAGTGGATACCATTAGCAAGACATGCTCGTGTCGCTTTTATCTTCCACATCCTGGCATTCGGAAGATATCTCTACGTGGGCATAACAATGCCTGCAAAATATGTGAAATGTGATATTATCGCTCCATTGTGCTACATCCAGACCCAGAAGTTTTCCGGTTTGGCTGTCCTGATCCGCACCACCCCAACTTGAGCACTGCTACCATATAGCACTGAGGATGGGAAACTAGGTTCTTAGTTCACTACTCATTTAGCTTACTCATTTCGTATGCTTAAGATAGACTTGTCGGTATTGCTATATACGTGACTTGCTCGTTGAAATGGCTCTTTACCGGATGGTTTCTTAGTTTACTACTCATTTGGTACACTTAAGAATTAACATATAGGTGCCAGTCATTAATTGTACGGAAATGCTCATGCGTGGACGTCCGGATGGCTTTTTCTATCAGACACTATTTTAATTGGATTCAGCCCATACAAACGGCCCAACAGTTTCCACCTGACATATTTCTCTCCCACACCACTGCTCGTCTTCCCGACGCAGCACTAGGGCGGCGGGGCGTTTGTGGCTGGAGGTGCCATGCTCGCCTTTCACCTTCACCGTTGACTATCTTCCATCGCTACCTCTTCCTCCCCTTGCGGCCCGCCCTACCCGTGCCTGCCAGCAGCAGCCACGTAGGCCAGGTGCCCAGGAGAGGTGGTCGTCGCTGGCTAGGCCCAGGCCAGGCACAGGCACCATCATCAGCCGTCGGCTTGCCGGAATCGGCCGTTCCTCCGCTCTATGTTGCGTTATACGGCAAAAGGGTGAAAACCGCATGTTGTATGAGTATGTTTCAAGTGTTTCATAGGTATGTTAGAAGTGTTGTATATCGATGTTGCAAAGTAGATCAGAATGTTGCACATGTTGTAATGGCTATACACATTTGTTTTAAGTGTATGTTCAAAATGTTTCATCTGTTCCAAGCGTATGTTGCAAGTGTTTTTATCTGGATGTTGTAAAAGTAGATCTGAATGTTGTATATACATGCATGTTGTAAACATATGTTTCAAGTATTTCATTTGGATGTTGCATATGTTTGCAATGGCTTTCAAATGTTTTTCAGGCGTTTTCATTAGTGTTTCAGATGCTTATTTTAAGTGTTTCATCTATCTTTTTTTATGCTGCAACTGTTGCATCTGGATGTTTTAAACGTAGATTGGGATTGCACATGAGATGCATGTGGGAAGCGGCTGGTTGTGCGGGCGACGTTTGGGGCGGCACGGGCCACCCATTGCTAGTGCGCTCGCTTGCGAGCCCGACGTGCTAGGCGCTCGCTCGCTTTCTGTGCGGGCACCGTCCAGACGCTAGCGTTTGAATATCGGACGTCCGGACGCCAGCAAGTCCATTAATGGTAGGCTAACGCAACCATCCTCGTATCTTAAACGTGCTCTAATCGACCATGCGTTCTCAGCCGTGCTGTTGAATCACATAGAGCAAGGTCCAGAATAATAGATCTCAAGAGCAAGTACAATAAACAATCCACAGGGAATATAACTCTACTGTTACTCAGGTGGAACATACACTGGTAGTTGTATACTTATCTTACAATGACGGTCAGTCGCTTACACTACCTATATTTATATACGGCTGTGAAAAAAATTCTTTTGCTCCTCCTATGCGCGAAGAATATAATGTGCCTTCTTCCACGGTTATAAGCTACTATTGACAGCAGTTTAATTATATCATACTTAGCTTAGCACGTATACCTAATCCCAGTGAACTTGTTTATACACGAACACGAGCAGCGCATAGGTGAATGTGAACCACCAAGCAACTACTCTCTGATCATCAGCCAGCCTTCCCTGTCCCGTAAGAATTACAGCTTCCTCCTCACGGACGTGGACATCGTCTGGTCCCAGTGGCCGCCGCGGACACGGCCATGCCGCCATGGCGTGCGACCGGTTCCAACCCGTACGACCTGAACAAGGGCACCAACGCCGGGCTGAGTCAGTTCTACCACGCCTGGTTCGAGGCCAGCCGGCCAGGAGCTGTTCCCGGGCAACAAGACGCACTACTGCTCAGGACGTGCTCGAGAAGCTCACGTACCAGCTGCCAGCGAGGCTTGGCGTCATGCCCAGCGGACAGCTCTTAGAACACGATCGAACTGATCGTGCCGCTGCAAACCGTGTCATTGGCACCTCCAGTCCGATACACACCACACTACAGCCACATGACCCAAAACTTTCACTGCGCCTTTTTGCACTGCTCCTATGCTGTGACATTTTCTTGCTAGCTTCAGTGGGAATCAGAAGCAAGCTCACGTTTTACTGGTTGTCATTGCTTACACAACCTCCAGTGCAGCTGCTGCAGCAGTTGTTGCCACTGGATTCTGTACTGCTTCCGGTAGCAACAATGCAACTGTCACTGAGATCCACATCCTAATGTTGCAGCTGTGGAGTCGACTGATGTGCGCAACTGCGCATGCATTTCCAGAGCATCCCCAGAATTAAAACATACTCCCTCCATACCCAGATTTCGAGTCGTTTTGGGCATTTGGCTAGTTTTCACAAATCATGTCGTTCTCTGCACCCGAGGGCAAATTTGGACGCGATTACCCCTCCCTTAATCGCGCGCGTGCACGCCGTCCGCATTGATCACGCTTGTTCGTTACTCACGCCACCCGTTCGGCTTGCCGCTGGCCGATCCAATAAGTGCTCGCACTGCCTCGCACTTCGTTCCTCGCCGCACGCCTCCTCACCTCGCCTCGCCTTACATCCTCTTCACGTAGCCTCGCTGCTCGCCGCACGCTGCATGTCCTCGTCGCCTCGCCTCGCCGCACGTCCTCCTCACCTCGCCTCGCTGCTCGCCGCTCGCCGCACTTCCTCCTTGTGCTCGCGTTCGTCTCCTGCAGCACGCTTGCCATGGAGCCCGGCGCCATGAAGCTCGCTCCAGCCACGGAGGAGGCGCTCGACTATGAAGTGGCGCCGAACTCAGAAGAGGTGGTGGTGGTTTCGGAGGAAGCGCCGGAGTCCGAGTTGGCGCCCAACTCAGAAGAGGCGCTGGACTTGGAGATGGCGATGGACTCTGTCGAGGTGCCGCTGGTGGTGCCGGACAACGTCGAGATGGTGGCGGACTCCGTGGAGAGGGACTTCGTCGAGTGTCTATGTCCTCGCTGCGGCACGATCCATGCTGGCGGCGTCTTCGGAGAAGAATGCTTCCAAGCTCGCCGCCGTGCTCGCATGTGTGCCCGTTGTGGCCTTCTCCACGAAGACTATGAGCTCCCAGCAAGGTTTTTTCACTTCATGGAGAAGTTTGACTGTGAGTTCTACATTCCGGATGTGGAGAAACTTCAAATGAGAGGTAACACAATACTTCTTCCTAACGATGTTGTCGAGAAGTTGGAAGAGATCCACAATATGAAGAAGTTGGAAGATGCAAAGATGAACCAAGATGAAAAGAAAGAACAGTAAGGTACGTGTCTCATTTAGTCATCCTAACATGCAAGCAAAAACCGATTGCTTCGGCTAGCATGCATTTAAACTAAGATACATTCATCTCCAAATTTGCATCTTCTTTTCATTTGCTCCATAAACTAACTTGCAGCTTCTAATTTGTAGGGAGACTAGCAATGCAGTCAGCAAGCAAGGAAGCTTCACAAGAAATTTGCAATGGCAGTCGTCCTTCTTTCTCTAGTCTATCTTTTTGCATGTGAGGAATTTTAAACTTGTTGCATCCTTTCACCTTCATTGCTTCCTTTAGAACACCTTGAAGTGTTACAAAAATCTTGTTTGCTTTCCATGGAGAGTACTCTAAGAATGCCTACAAAACATTAGTTCAAGAAATGAATCAATGAATGGACAATATTGTGTGAATGCCTATAAAACATGTGTCAACAATTGATCAACTTACTTGTTGGACAGCGGGAACTAGATCTTTTATTGTTTTGGCGTCTTTCTTGTATTGAATTGCTTGAATTGCTCGAAAGAAACCCAAATCTAAAATATTAAAATCCGGAGAATTGAGTGGTTGACAAATGAGTCGAATGTCAAAACCTTCTTGCTTGGCGGCCTCACAAAAAATAGGATCATCCACTTTCAAATGTGAAGGTGCATTGTCTTGTTGTATGAAAATTGGCTTGTTCACATCCTCTCTAGGCCATTTGGCTCTAATTGCCGGTAGAACATTGTTTATCATGAAATCTCTAATCACATCTCTTGTGATTGAAGTAATTGGCTTGATTACTTCTTCTCCACGAAGACGATTGTGACTTCCTCTAATAGCTTGCCCATAAGTCACAAGTGGAAAACAACCAATTTTTTCATCAAAAACACACTCTCCATTTCTAAACCATGGCCGAGCACAAACACACAAGAACATCAACCTAGGGATGTAATTCTTGTTCTTACAAGTATGGTGTGGATCATCTTCTTCGGGTAGCAAGTAATATTTTTCAGATTTTTGAGAGAGGTAGAACCATTTTTCATCAATGAACACAAAGTCAAAAAAATCCTTAAATCTTGGATCATCAAACAAGCCTTGCTCAATCATATCAACACACCACTTCAACCTAGTCTTCTTGTTTGCATCTGTGAGATATGGTTTGATGCTACTTGAGTGCTGCCTAATTAAACCTTTTTTCAAATATCTTTGTATTCTAGATTTGCTCATACCAAGTTTACTAGACACATCTTCTATTGTCATTCTTTGCTTGAGAGGGATGTTGCGCAAAAGTTCCAAATTAGGTGGGATTGCCTTGCGTCCACTTCTACCCTGCTTTGTACTAGTAACCACAACTGGAATATTATGATCAAGTTGTGTTTTACCTCTCCGCCATAGGCGTTGAACGGACCGGATGTGCACACCAAATTGAGCAGCAACGATGCTTATATCCTTCCTCCTTAGTTTCCCATTATTGCTTCTAGTCAACAAAGCTTGGTACACTTTGTGCGCACTCGTGGTCTGTCATGTCCTTCCTTCGAGGATTTGGTTGAACGGTAGCATCATGAGCATGATCTAGTAGAGGAAAAAAGAAACAAAGTATCCGTAGCATCATCAGCAAGCGCTTCAACAAAGTAGCCGTGGCTTAACTAAAATGAATAATGTGATTGTGTCAAAAAAAAAGTTACCAGCAAGATTTTGTAGATAGTCGAAATTAACTACACCGAACTCATCTAGTGGTAAGTTCAAATCAAGTACTGTAAAAAAACGAAACAATGATTTAAGAACTGAGCAAAATCTGCGTATGCTAAGAAACACACAAGAGCGCTAAGTGATGCATTACCGCCATGGTGAACTTCTGGCTCGTCGACGTCGAACACGTCGTTGTCGTCATCATCTTGTGGCTCGTCCACGTCGAACACGTTGTCGTCGTCGTCATCTTGTGGTGCTGGAACGTTGAGATCAAACCCAGTGTCGGCTTCGTCATCTTCGGATGCCAGTACGTTGAGATCGAAACTAGGAATATAATCAGACATTTGTACTAGGAGTAGAAGCAGGAAGGAAAGAAGAAGAAAAGGCGTGGAGTAGATGCAGTACTGGGAGCAGCATCTGAACGTTTTATAGTACTGGGAGCAGCGTGTGTAGACGCGCCAACACACGCGCGCGAGAACGCCGAAAATGCGTCTGAACGCCGAAAATTTGAAAGCAAGCGAACCTGTAAACGCGCCAACACACGCTTGAGAAAGCAAAACGGGAGCAAACGCTAAAAACACTCCTACACGCGTGCATCACCTGTGCCAAAACGCTCCTGCACGCGCGCGTGAGCGGCCAAACCCCGACCTCACGCGCCCAAACTCAAGCAGCACAGCGCCATGCAACGAAGCACAGTGCCATGCAAATAATCTGGCGAATACAAAAAAAATACCACGGCTGCCAGCACTCAAACGGTGGACGTCAGTCCTCGGGCCGCAGAGCCTTGGCCACTCGAGCTACGAAAGTTTGCTGGATAAGCAGCATGCGCAGGCCTATTTAATAAGGGCAAGGATGGAAAATTAACCCCTAATTAATTCCTTCTTGGTATGCACAATCCTGTCCTAAACGACTTGTTTTATGGGTACGGAGGGAGTAGTATATAATGGGTTTGGCGTTGCTGGTGCTTTTATATTCTCTAATAACTGCGCAAACACCACATGTCTCCAGATCTACAGAGAACAGAAAATTCTTTAGGACATATAGCATTGAAATGAAAGGAAGTATTGGTACCTTACTCATGAAAAGCTAAGAACTGGATCCAACCAAAAAAAACAGTGGCTGTAATCCAGCATTGTACCAATAAAGCAACATTTATGCATTGGTAGAGAAGCAAAAACCAAATATATAGAATGGCAATGAGAATTTAGCTTACAGCTGTACAATAACAACAGATGGAACAAACCGGTGGGTAATCAGTTAAACATTGATATACAAACTAACATTCAGTGCTGATTCAGTCCAACAATAATTTATGGCAACTATCCAGACCCTTCACAATTGAGGAGATTGATAATGTCATCAAGCAAATGCCTGCGGATAAAGCACCAGGCCCAGACGGGTTTAATGGGTACTTCATCAAAAGCTGCTGGGAAACAATTAAAATATATTTCTACAGCCTTTGCTTTGATTTTTTCAATGAAACCCTGGACCTGCAATCTATAAACAACTTCTTCATCACTCTGATTCCCAAGACAAACAACCCATTTCACTTCTAAACTATGTCCTCAAAATTATCACAAAACTACTGGCCAACAGGCTCCAAGGCAAGATCACATCTCTCATTCATAACAACCAGTATGGCTTCATCAAGAGCAGGACAATTCAGGACTGCTTAGCATGGACCTATGAGTATATTCATCAATGTCAGCAATCCAAGAAAGAAATCATTATTCTCAAGCTAGACTTCACAAAAGCTTTTGATACTATTGAGCATAATATGATCATTAAGACGATGGAACAGCTAGGATTTGATGAAATTTGGTGTAACTGGATCCAAAGAATTCTTGACACAGGAACTTCCTCCATCCTTCTTAATGGAGTGCCTGGAAAGCACTTTCAGTGCATGCGTGGGGTGAGACAAGGGGATCCTCTTTCTCCACTTCTCTTCGTTTTGGCTGCGGACCTCCTTCAGTACATCATCAAGGGACACAACGAAGGACTGTTTGAATTACCTATCCCCTCCTATGAGAAATGTCAATATCCAATTGTACAGTATGCAAACGACACCATTCTCATCATGAAAGCTTCCCAAATTGAACTGTTCACTCTAAAGGGACTATTAGAATCTTTCTCGCAATCAAGTGCACTTTGGGTCAACTACAAAAAAAATCTTGTTTGGTGCCTTTGAACCTCTCTCCAGAGAGAGCACATCAACTTGTTGGGGGTTTTTGGATGTAAACTGGAATCCCTCCCTTTTACTTACCTAGAACTGCCAATGGGCACCACCAAGCCAAGGGTAGAACACTTTGGATTCACCATGAACAAAGTTGAACGAAGACTTACAGCTACTTCAAACTTTTTGTCTCATGCTGGAAGACTTGAGCCAGTGAATTCGGTTCTGTCCTCTCCCTATATATGCTATGTGTACTCTCCAGCTGCCTATTTCAGTTATAGAATACATTGACAAAGCAAGGAGGAACTGTCTTTGGAGAGGCTCTGACAGCAATGCTAAAATAAAGCCCCTGGTGGCCTAGAAAAAATGTAGCGAACCAAAAAGGAAAGGTAGCCTTTGCATCATCAATCTTAGAAGCCAAAACTCTGCCCTCCTCCTTAAACACCTGAACAAATTCTACAACAGGAAGGAAATTCCATGGGTCAAACTGGTTTGGTATGCACACTACTCCAATGGTGACATCCCCATATGCAACTATTGATAAAGGGTCTCTTTGGTGGAAGGATATTTTGAAGCTTTGTTATCTCTTTAGAGGAATTGCTAATTGCAAAATTGGGAATGGATCTATTGTTCTTTTCTGGTCAGACTTATGGAATGACAATGTCATGCAGAATAACTTCCCTAGACTTTTCACCTTTGCCAAAAACAAGAAGATTTCTGTGTTGCAGTTTCTTTCAAACAACAACCTTGAGTCACAATTTCACCTCCCATTGTCTGAACAAGCTCACCAAGAATACCAAACAATGCAAGACTATATTCAAACTATACAAATTCAACAGGTCACAAAAGATTTCTGGCACTATTTTGCGCAGCAAGTAGCTATACTTCTTCAAAATTCTACAACTTCCCCTACAGAAATGTTCAGTCTCCTGCCCCTGTCCTATGGATTTGGGATTCAAAGTGCCGTAACAAACTTAAAGTCTTCCCCTGGCTCGTGATTATAGATAGGCTAAACACAAGGAATCTTTTCAAAAGAAAAAAAACACAAGTTGGAAGGCAACAACTACAACTGTGTTCTATCTCTTCTTCAGTTGCCCTTTCAGTCAGGCCTGCTGGCATCACTTGAATATGCACTGGAACTTCCAAAGTGATTTCTTCCAAATGATG